TTGAATCATAATCTGAAAGCGTTTGATTTCTGGAACGATTATTTAGAGGTTTCATGGATTTGGATTCTTTTCACACCCGGTTTTTACAGTACTGTTCAGCTATTGAGACGTATTCCTTCCAACTAGTATACAACGAATCAGGCAAAAGAGCTTTGAGGCAGACCATGCGCTTATTATACGAACAAGAATGCTTAGTCCGATTTGTACGAAAATCAAGAAGTTTGGTCGAATGAAAGAATGTTACGAGCAAGGTAAGTTAAATCTGAGATGAGCAACGACCCCCTACGGCAAACGCCATGAACAAGCTATTGTTCACCAAATTATGGGATAAGAAGACGCCAACCACTGTTACTGTTAAATGTGTAAATACAAAAGCCAGTAAATAAAACATTCAAGTCTATTTTGCAAACTACATAAATCACATCGAAAAAATAATTTAAAAATGCTGGGTTGTCAGCACATGATATTAAATGATTGAAATACCTTGCTGCTGGGAGGCGAGTTTTTGCATCGTTTGAAATGGACGGTCCCCTTGTTATATCTTCTACCGATCCATATGCACGACCTCTTTTAGTCCGGTTATCGCTCTTACCGAAAACATTGCGGAGATAAGCTGCAAAGCGGCTGAAAGCATTTGGGCGCCTAACTATTCAAATTTATTCCTAAGTATAACAAATACTTTTCTTTTGATCATCAACGCCAGCCATTTAAATCAAGACTGCTACCCCGGTGCGCCGAGCCGATTCGATTGATACGATCGTGTGACCAATTCGTAGTTCAACGCCAGATACCAATGCATTTAAACACTGAAGAAAGGTCCTGAAACATGCTAACGATTAACAGATTAATATACGGTGTTTTTTAGTTAAATTGAGACATAAACTACTATTTGTTTTTCGGATTCGGATTTATTCAGATGTCTACATAAAGGAAGTTTTGTGGGCTCCCTTGGTTGGGAATTTTGGAACTCCACTGATATTAGTCATTATTTAAGTACTTTCGACTATCAGAGATTTTAAATATAACACACTGTATTTACCAATTTAAGGCTTTTATTTTGCAGCACTCAGTTGTTGTGTTAGCAACGATGAGGAGGAATACAATTTATGCATACATTCAGACAAATTTTGAGCGAAAAATATGTAAGCGGCATTTGATAGGTACGCGGCGCTAAAATTTTTATGTGACTCTTACTGGAACTTCTTTAAGCTTTTAAATTAACACCTTTTTCGACATAAACGTTAACCAATCATAACACTATGTCAAAATATTTAATCCGCAATTTCATTTCCATACTTCTCTGTAACAGTGGTCGTTTTTCAGCACATAATTTTCTAAACTAATCACTTGCATTACGCACAACTGACATGGCCGAACACTGCAGCATCTTCATTTTCAAGGTAAAAAGAGCCTTTTGTCAGCCCTACCATATAATGCCGGAGTCCTAGTTTAGCTGACACATTTGCGACATAGAGCCTTATTTTGACATGATTATAACGAGATTCGTCCATTCACCCTATTCGCTTTGTCATCTATAACGTGGTGCTTTTTATCTATACATTACTCTAGTTGACTGCTGATTATCGACACAGACTTCGATAACACACACGGACAGAAGATGGACTTAGTTTATGACGAGATTTATGAGTCTGCTGCCCCTACCGACGCATCGGATGGAGCAGGTGCCTCATCTTATTCTTATTGGGCAATTTTGCAACCACTATATTTGAAAGCATGTTTTGATGGGAACGAGACAATTTGATAATGCGCTATCAAAGTAAATATGCCAAATCTTGAAAAAAAATTATTTAAAATGTTGGTGCAGGCATGCATTACCAATTCAGAAAATGGGTGACAGATTTTATGATACACGATCTTCGTCAATCGGCTCACGACTTTCGGTGGATCGGTCATCAATAAAATCAAAATAGCACTTTATTCAGCGGAATATTGACTTTACACTTTATTATGCCAGTTTAATATGCTGCAATTCAAAATTCTACAAGCTAACTCATCGATAGACACCGAATTTCTCCCGCTATTTACCATTTTCTAAGGAAATGAAGAGGTCAGTGTAGCAAAAGTACATGTGATTACGATGAAGATTTGATAGTCCTTGACAAATTTTGCTGAATATCTTTCCAGTCTCAACGATATGTTTTTCAAAGTCAATGAACCCTCCAAGGTCTTGCATATGCTAATTTAATGACTAGTTATAATTTCATCAGCTACTTAAAACAACGTTAGTATGGCATTTCTGCCACTGGATGAGACAGTGAGCTCCTGTAAATATGTAAATTATTTTTATAAAATGAAATGCCAATTTTTTTTATAGAAAAGACCTAGGTGATATGCGAGTTTCTTAGACATCACGCCCGCAATAAGAACTATGGAAACTGATTTATGTTCCGGAATGGTGAATCTTGGTAAATCACGACCGCCGCCATGGTGCATACATGGCTGTCTCCCATTTATCCGCCTTCCCTGCAAAGCCACTTCAAACCTTTTTCTGCCATTGAAGTTCTGATTTCCCGCTTGGAAACAGTTTAATCATGCACAATAACCAGAAATAATTTGTCTTCAGCGCATCTTTTCAAGTGAATCAGAATAATTCCGGGCGGCACGAGCTAGCGCAATTCGGCCTAACGTCGGACGACCTTGGCCGGGTACAAGATCGATGCTTCTGTATTGAGTTGCTTCCAAATACGTAGCCAAACTAACGTTAAATTGACATTCATAGCAAGTCTTGATCTCACCTTACGATTGTACAAAGTATTAGGTGATTTTTAGATGATATTATGTGATAACCTGACGGTGTAATTGTTCGGGTGTAAATGCTGTACTCCGCCTGATTAAATTTAGTGAAACAAATCATGTACAACACGAGACGAGACATAAAAGGTCGCATAAAGCGTTTCCATGGTAATCTGATAAACAAAAAACACAAAAGTAAGTCCCCTATTTGGACAGAATCAAGAACATTCTTGTTTCTAATTATAACACAGGCGGTCATTAATACGAAGTTTTGAATGTGCCGGTTGTGGGGTTGTACCGCCTTCACAGGACTATTTGCGGTATACTGTCTTTGGTTTTATGGGTAACAACATAACACTTGGGACATCTTCCTCGAACTACCTACAGGTAAATCCACAAAATTGGCTGTTTAATTCATTTAAAATCCATTAATGCCATTTACTCAAACGAACGTCACCAGGGTCCTTTTTCCAAGTCGGAAACCGAAGAGACTTTTAAACCACTCTGGTGAATAATTACAAAGGAGAAACTAGCCATTATTGCCAGCCTCATCTTACGAGGATTCATCTCAACTTTCAGCGAAGGAGTGGGTAGAAAACTTGCTGACTTTGAATAAGTTTGTGGGGCGATTGCCAACACTCCACTTGTCTCTACATCGATCTTCGATTTCATTTTAATGCCACTGAAGTTCCGTCCAATCATTCTGGATTTCTCGCACATCGATGCTGTCAACTTCCAGCATCTGTACAAAGGCGATGCCTGCATAGAGGCATAAAGTGATGGCTCGAAGATGAATGAAAGGGATCAACTAACCAGCCACCACATCGACATTCCCACTTCTGAAACGGTTATTTTAATTTCGGACCTGGTTATGCTTGACGTGAATGAAGCAACTGGGACGGTGGTGTGGTTTGGAAAAATTGGACTTTTCGTGCCACAGAAAAGCGTGGGGCGTAACTTTCCTTACTCCCCTTCAGCCGATAAAACAGCCCCTACCTAAATGCGACGGAGATGTCTTAGAGTCTGGCTTGGCAAAGGCTAACCAAATCACGCCGAGCAAAGTTATGTCCTCACTCTTATCTGTTCGCATCTGTTGAGACAAATTAGCCCCCTTCCGTACCTCGCCCACATCAACTAATTGATTGAAAATTTGATAGTTCTAATTCCAACAAAATGCTTGGAGACTCCAGTGCTAAATAAAGTGCTTTTTTGCATTTACTGAATCAATCTCGCTAATGTCTTGCCCTGTGCCATTCGCTCAAATTCAGCGAGACGACAAAGCAGTAGTTTTTGTGAGATCTGGTTTGCGATTTGCGTTCCATTACTTCACACAGGCACCATTTCCACGACGCTGAATGAATATTTTACGCGTTGGTAGCATCTTGAGGATTGGATTTCGAGTGTGTGTGTTAGTGGCAAGAGCAGATTCAGCTGGCTTCAACCATTATATCCAGGCACCTCAAGAACGCAGAACACAACAGAATGCTCCACATGCATCGTGACAGTACGCCTCAACAGTAAAATCAGTCAGTGATGTTTCCTGATTATGCTCGTTTAAATCCGAAATGCCGCCTCTAACAGATCAGGCGCCAATCTGACACACTTGAAGGTAATTTTACACTTCAGCTTCTGAAACCACACCCCGAATCCCACTTCTTAGAACGCTGCCGATGCCAATTGTAATTAGACGACAGTCGCAATGACGCTGTTGCTATCCTGAACGACTGCATAACGGCGCACAGCTGCGATAAACCCTGTCAAGGATTAAGTGATGCAGGTGATTTGGCAAAGATTTCTCGGGACATTAAGACATTTCTGGGGCGAGGTTTATGCTAACAATAAAATACAGAGCATCGTGAAGCACAGGAAATGCAGAACATAAAGGGTTTGATCAAATCCAGACAGTGTATCCTCCGTGTAGCATGTCATTGATCGAAGCAGTGGGAAGCGATTGCATTGGACAGAGCGACATGCTTTTTGCCGACAAAACCGCCGCTTTGCCTAATAGGGAGTGCGCGAAACTGAGATTGACTCTTCCAATTAACTCAACGACTCGCCTCGTTTAAGCAATTCATTTTAAAATAAAATTTAAGTCCATAAACTGGAATATTACACCGGTTTTCAGTATTCTGTTAACCGGGAATGTACATCCGTAATTGCGGTAATATTCGCGTGATGCTAACTCATGCTTAGTAAGCTGTTTTCTCTTCCACAAATGACGCTAACTCAACATTAGAAGGAGCGTGATGAGTCGGTCTTCGGTCGAAGTCGATGAGTCTTCAAGAGCTGGAGGAGACGAAGACTGGGTGTCATGGAAGCAACCACTTACAACGTTCGACGGGGACTTGCCGTCACAACCGTCAGTGCCTCTTTATCGATTGATTATGTCCTCACTGCAAGGCATTGACATGAACACCGCCGTCTGCTCACATGCAAGGCCAGTTCGACGAACTCTTACAGGTTGGGTAGTCTGTGCTGAGGTCATTGGACGCAATTTCCACAAATTCGGTTGCATTTCTGAGTTTTACACGCATGTCGAAACATCAGTGTCGCTCGACAACTTGAAAACCCGCTTCCAGCAGGACTACTTCAAAGCACGCAGCTACTATGAAATGCTTGGAGCGTTGGAAGGGTTCTGCGTTGTCGGCTAACATCAATATCTGGTTTGGATCACATGGTCCCACTTTACTGATATGTTCAACTATGAATGTCCACCAGCTTCAAGAACTAATTTACAAAAGTATAATCCGGGGTAAAAGTGGTCCTCTTGGGTGCAAATACGTGTTTACCGCAAACTTCATCAATGGACAGAATAGTATAGAACCCAATTTAATTACTACCTTTGTTAAACACAAGGTTGATACCCAAGTTAGCAATCTCGCTCTACACCTATGTCGTGAAAATCACCGTTAAGTGCCAAGTTGTGACAACTTTACTAATAATTCGATAAACACAAGGTCGCTTCCGACAACACCGATTCCGCATTGAACCCGTGTCGAAAACAACGCCCCTGTACACCAAGTTGAGAACACTTTACTCGCACCTACAACTTCATCAATCATCGGCCATCAACACAGGAGCTCAGTAAATGTGACTGACATAGAAGTCCAAAGTTGAAATAGGGCGTTAGTTTTTTTACAAAACGTGACAAAATTGGTCAATTAATAGCCTATCTCAAGATAATAATGTGTTTACTAAGCTTGAGATGCTGGAAATGGTAGAAATAGACCCACTACGACTGAAGGAATCGATTATCTCGCAAGATCCACACAATCCAAACCGGTGCTCTTCTCCAAGAGGCACTGCGAAGGCATTTACACCCCACTCTCAACATGTCATGCCTTCCGTTCGTGTTGGAAGAAAGGACTTAGGAATCCTCATGGCGTCATGGCGTCCATCAGTTATCGAACTGGACGCCTGTGTCCGGGCAGGTTGCCACTCACTAACTAGTCCAATGGACAACACGAATTGAAGCAACCACACACATACGCGTGTGGATTGTCGTGTTCAAAGCAGTTAGATGGGGGCTGTGGGTCGGTAGGGTTGGTGGCCTGATGCATTTGGTGACTGATTGGCAGGGCTGGGACACGTCCCCAGTAGTGGTGTCATTGAGATGGCAGACGCGACGAGACGGCTGCGTCCACCACCTAATAACGTGCCGTCGCCTCACTCACTTCTCTAGTCGCCTGAAGAAGAAAGACACTTAATTACGACGTTGGCTTCGCCTACACTTTACGAGAAAAACAACGCTTTATTCACCCCAATGGGCACGGCGTGTGGTTGCGTGGGTGTGCGTGGGTGGGCTAGCTGGGCACATGACAGCGGAAACCAATGAGAGGTGGGACTGAGTGACAGAGACCAACCAGTTTGAGGTAAGGCCTGTTTGGACACGTCGTTTTGCTGACAGTCCACTTCTGGTCCGAAATGGGTGCTGTTTTTTTTTTACGTTAAACATTTTAGCTTACGAAATACTGAAAAATGGGCACACGGGTTCAATTATTCATGGGTGTCTGTATGTGTGTGACTTCGACAGCGTGACTGCTCCAGTGATTATTGCTACGTACACAAAATAATCCCTCTCACGTGTACACACAGTTGTAGCAAAATGGTGTGACCACATTGAATACCTGCGACAGGAAAGCGCTTACGTGATTGGCTGGGGCGATGGACCTCGAGACGTCTAGACCAATCAGTAAAAAGTCAACGAGGTAGCAATTTGTTTGGCTCAACGTGGCAGGCAACTGATGAGCAAAGCGGATAGGCTAATTTTTTTGTTACGTTTTCCATCAAAAATGGAGGCACATAACCGCACAATGCTCCGATTGGAGCCTTTTAATTTGAATATGCAAATGATAAGCCGAGGTGACGCAGAGGTTTCAGTGGTGTTACATGTCGTGCTTTCAAAAACGTATTTGGGTCATGTAAACAGACTAAGGAAATGCGGGAAAACATTGACGTCATCTAGTAGCATTCGTACTTTATTAATTCCAAATTGACCATCTTGGTATTCTTAAAGTGTCCTTACTTCCTGGGTAAATCGCTACTTTCGTACACTTGAACATCCACCAAAAGTAGCACTGTCCACTCATGGTTTATGCTTACAGGACCACCGAAGGTCCTTCACTTGTCTTGAACGAATCACATTGAAGGTGGACCTTTTGGCATGAGTTCTGCATCTCACATGGTCTCACTTGTAGACTAACCTGTAATCAATGACTGTTACGCACACAGAGATACTTATGGTACGGCTGTTTGCGTCCTTGTTCCAATTCAGCGAAACCGGATAATTCAGTCTAAGGCACGCGTCCTCACCGTCACCTGCTTCCAGTGCGCTCTCCTATTCCACAAGTCCTTCTTCAACGCTTGCTCATTATCGGACGAATCGGTTTGTAGAAGTTCCGGGCACTGGAAGCATTTAGGCCTGGCCAAACAAGAGACGAGGACACGTTGTCAACTCTATTTAAAGGTTCCACACATTCAGCGGATGCGGTTCTCCTGGGAGGAGCTGCTGAGACTTACTTTTTCCTCCTGCTGATTGGCACTGCTTCCTTGTCATGGTCTCGAAGTCATTAGCAGACGGCAGTTTCTCCGTAGGACGCAGGCTGTGGCGAATTTGTACGGCGTTGAATCGAGACGCAATTAACAGCAGGCTGACTGGTCCTGTGGATGTTCAAATGCTGTTTAGGTAGTGCTCAAATGAAGGTTCAGAGCAGATCGTTGTGCTCCGTCAACTCCAATGTCATGCCTGACCTTTCTTGGTACCTCCTCGATGACGAGTGCGGCAAGTTGACGTCGAAAAGTCACTGATACATGCCTGCTTGTGCGTCGGTTGAATGAGTTCTTGATGCTGCAATTTTCTATGTGTTGGAAATCATGGGAATCTAACTCAAACCAATGTTCCAAACAAAATCCTTTTTTATTGAAAATGGAGGAATTCTTATTTGAACAGTGCCATCTAACGATGTTGCGACTGCTGAAAAGCCGTTGAGGCAGCTTTGAGTAGCCAAATCTAAACGGCTACAACAATGAAAGTGAAACACTGGCGGAATCACACACACAAATCCCGTCTGTCTTGGTTACTTTCGAATGCAACCGATGGTCCACACAATCACAACTGGCTCATTCCTGACGTTTCCTGGCTCCATCTATATCCAGGTCTGTCGATTAGGTGCCTAAAATGCCTGATTCTATGGCAACGAATTCAACAAATACCAACGGGCTCTTCTGCATGCGCAAATTATCCATGGTGATGACATGCTGCCAATTCATTCGTTTCTGTGGCTCTAACAAATGTCCCAGTTTACAAGGAGCTTTCGTTAATGCCCCACTTAGTGGATGAAGTAAACGCATTGGAATTTGCGGCATTCGTCTAAGGCGAGTCCATTACACACTCCAGGGTACTGAGCACTGCCAAAGGCCGTCTTAGTACAAGTACCAAGAAAGCAGTCAGTAATTTAATTGCGCAACGAAGGCGAAGTGTTTAATTGCATTGCCGAAAAGTTCGTGTACCAAGAGCTAAATTGCAAGCGCTGGTGATGGTGATCACTCGTCCCTTCCCACTCCCTACAAAATTACTCGGGTGGCGGAGGAACAAGTGCTTTCTGGTACAGCCGTTGCTAGTCGAGCCACCTCAACCCTGGTGTTATTCACCCTCCTGCCTGCGCTTTTTAATAACCGCGCTTGGCTGTGCATCTCAGCACAACAAATCGTCCTCGTCTGCTGTCACACAATCAGTGGTTTAATCAGAAAAAGCGGTGCTGACCCACTTGCAGGACATCCGGCACGAGACAACTAAAACAGAGATGAGGAATTCGTCGCGCACGCATTCTTTCCGTTCATCGCCCAGCCGTCAAAAGGCAAATGTGATTAGTTGGGGAAAGCAGTGTGGGCCAGTGGCGATGGTGGGAAGACGACTCCTGACCAATTTCGAGAGCAAACAGAAGTCGCACACCACCGTGATGGCCTCCTCCTCAATCACGGAAGACGCCGAAACCACAAAGGAGGATTTCGATTCAGAACGTTCCGTTGGCAGTTCCGCAGAAAAAAAAATCACTTCGCTATTGTGCGTCACAGTTCACAATCGGTGTTTGCTCGCAGCTTGCTGACTGCTTCTGGAGTGGCGTTCAATGGGATTTGTTGGATCCAATGGTGCCATTGAACGGTGTTAATTAGTCGTGTCGTGTTCGTCGAAGTAAACCAAACACGTTTTCAAACAATTATAAAAGTCAGACTACAATGGCTTCAAAGTTGCCACTAAGGAAAGTACCCACTCACATCGACAGTTTGTATTCAATTGAGATTATCGAATTGCCGCAAATGATAACAACTGATTTGTAAATCACACCAAATTCACCGAAGCACACATTTGTCCTAAAACGCACCAAATTTGATGTACGTTTTCTTAAGATTCACACGTTATCACCATGAGTAAATCTACCTCATTACACAACAAGGAGAATCGAGAGTGTCTCTCAACTGTTACTAACAAAGCCAAATTGTCATTTTCAGTTAATGCCTGATTCATTTTAAACAAGTGCCTTGATGTAGAACTCTCCTCAATGCACCAACAGATCCTTTCGGATTTCAATTGTATTGTTCAAATCTTCTAGGAGGAAATGTGCTTTAAACCATAGGGATCGGTATCAACACTTCGACAGGAGTGTTCACGACTTTCTCCTCGGTTTGTGGACATCCAAGAATATCTTGGCAACACACTTCGTGCGCTAAATGCTTCAAATGTATCTCCATCCGGTGCCAACTCTGACGAATTTTGGTATATTTACGAACATTTAGTGGAATGTGAAATAACGATTTCCGGGAATCCCAAACCAGCAGATCACATTGAGTCTGGGCCTGATGAACTGGTCACCGTGACCTTAGGTTGGAACCTATCACCGCTCAAGTTATCCACTTAGTTAATTACACAGAAGGGAACATCACCGAGCCATCAGAAGATCGATTCCATGTTGGATAGACCTGATGAGTTTCCAAAGATGTTACAACAACCATGAAGCCACTCTTCTATCTGGACAACGTGGAGGCCAACTGTCGAAGATTTGTGCTAAATCAACATGCAACTGGCGTTGCCTCAGTTGTCAGACCACGAGAATTTGTGGCAACTCAGCCGCTAGGTCAAATGTGGACTTTTGGGGGATGTGTACTTTTAATTACAATCCTCGTGATATTAACTCCACGCGAGGATAAGATTAAGCGCTAGTAAGTTGAGTGCAAGATTTACGATGACTGCAAATTGTTCGCGTTGCGACCAGAAGTGGTCTCCGAGAGCCAAACAACCACTAAAAGCAGATAAGAGTGAGACAAACAGTTAGCGGTGAAGAGGGCAGAAAGTAGCTGCTCCACGCACTTGTGAGTGTACCAGTCACGTCGGATGCTCGTGCATTCGCTGATCACGACGTCGAATGGGTGGAGTGCCCGACAAACCAGGTGAATATATTGCGCATTGCTCTCAAGATATTCTACGGAATGAGCCATTGGCGGTGGCAGTGCGTTTTAGTTGAGACAACAGGAGCATTCCCCCACCGTCCAGATTTAACCTGAACTCTTCGACAGGCGTGTCTGCCTGTGAATTTGGATTCGTTTACAGCGCGAGTTTGCAGACAAGGTTTGATTAATCTCCCGCTACTGATTCAGGTCAAACGTGACAGTTTAGAAAACAGGGGAAAAGGTTTCAAACCAAAGTGTCCATCTGCGTCATTCCAAATGTTTGTCAACAAATAAACAAGCACAGTGCTGGAATATACTGGATGCACTTGATGATCGCCAGTGAATTAATATTCTTCAGCCAGTTATTTGACTAAGCATTAAAAATGGGCACATTGTCATCCATCGTCATCACTTCACTTTCCCGTAGAGTCCTGGATATCATTCTGCCCGTCTTATTGATCGCCCACATCCTATTGGTTCATCTCTTTAATCGGCTGTAAATGTCAATTAGCTAGTAACCGTGACACGCGTTAGCCGCGTTTAACATTCCTGCTTCCACTTTTACACGGATTATAATGCATTGAATGTCGAGAGTCACGAGAAGCATTTTCCTTCTGGATGTGCTTGCAAAAATCCCATCATCTGTCAAGCATCCCAGCGTCCTACCCCATTTATCTCGATGTAATAACCCCCTCTCTACCCCCAACGCCGATAAGCCCTCAGCGAACACCTGCCAGTTTCTTTGCCATTTCCCACTTTCTGCACTTTTAGACCCTGCCTGTGACAAGTTTCAGGCCCCACGACCAATCCACGTAGAGCCGATTTAAAAGGCATGCAATGCATGCGTGACGCGGATGTTTCGATTGCCTCACACAACTTACCTCGAGCGCGTCAACTTGGTACGTGTCGTGGAGTCGCTCAAGCTTGTGCCTGATCGTGGCGAATCGATCCCTTGGGAAATTGGGTTTTCATCTCCTTTAACCAGCCCACACACCCGAAGTGCTGCTCTCGCGCAGCGTGTTACGCGACTTGATGGGAATGAACGCTGATATCTTTAAAGCTTTACGAGAATGGTAATAGAAACAGGCAAATTGTTCACAGAACTGAAACGACGCAGCGAAAGAGGCGTTTTTAGAGGCTACACGACCTTTTCGCCTTGCCACCAATTGATACCAACTCAACCAACTCCGGTGTCAATAGGTTGATGTGATTCACCAGTTCTTCAGATGCACAAATCAGGCGCACGACGCCCTGATCTATAGAACATGAGTTAGAACACGTTCGTTCAAGCCA